CTGCTTCTCTGATGCCCCCTCTCCCTCCATTGCTAGTGCCTTCCCTCTAAGATCCATCTGTATGTCTTGAATGTCAGCAATTTTTTGCATGTTGTCTCCCCCATTAGAATGAGTTCCTTGAGGGAAGGAGCTATATTTTTATCTTTCTTCATATCTACTAGTACTTAAGACAGTGCCTGTCATATGGGAATCACTTAATAAATACCTATTGATTGATTAACTGCTGTTGTGGAAAGAGTACTGAACTTAGAATTGGAAGAACTCGGTTGGAATCCCAGCTTCATATTCTGACTGTGTAACCTTAGTCACCTAACCTCTTTAATCTCTCATTTTCATCCCTGTAACTAATATAACTACAAAGGTCTTATGAAGGAAGACACTATTGGCATCCAGAGAAAGAACTGACAAAAAAGAATACTATTTTGGAATAATTTTGGAATTTGGAATTATGCTTTTGTTAAAAAGTGACTAAAATGTCCATTCTCATGTATACCAAAATACTTATTGTAGTAGTTTTTGTAGTAAACCTCCCCCCTCCCAATTTGAAAGTAAAATAGATGCCCATTGTTTGAGGAGTGACTAAACAAATTGCAGTATGTGAATATTATGGAACTTTACTCTACTACAAGAAGTAATGAATATGAAGAATTAAGAAAGCCGTGGGAAGACATATTTGAGCTGATGCAAAATGAAGTAAGCAGAACTGATAAATCAATATAGTGCAGTAACTATTACAATATACAATGAAAACTATTCAAGCAGGCAAGCATTTATTATGTTTATATAATCTATAATAAACATCTATATATTATATCTATAAAAAGAATACTAAAATGAAACTTAAGGCTGTGAAAAAAAGAAAGGAAATAAAGTACTTCACAAATTGTAAAGGTTATATATGTATATATCAGCTATTACTAGACTCCAGGCATTTCTTCTCATTTGTCACTACAGAAAAATTAAATAGCAGTTCTATTTTATTGTAATATTGATTGCCCCCTCTTACATCTATAATTATTCTTTGTGAATTAAATTATGGTTGAACTCATGGATGCCTTGAGATAAATACAGTAAAATCACATTACCTTTCTTTCTAAGGAATATGCAGTATATTAATCTTATCATATCCTTCTCCCAAAAGCTTTTGTCCAAGGAATTTTGACAATTTTGTCATAGCATTATTAAAGTTAAATATTACTCTGACTTAATGGAATTATTTGTATGTTTTGTTAAGTATGCTTTCTTGCTTTTCCTTGGCAAACACCTAAATTATATAAACGAATAGAAAAAACTGTATTGCTTATTTAGTTTATTTGATACAACCTGAAAAAAAAGGGTTAGAAATGGGATTCTTGCTGAAATTTGTAAATAGCTAGTGAGTAGCTTTAACACAACTACAGTTATTGCCAAAAGCAAGAAGAAATTTAATAATAGATGACTGCAAACTAAGACAGATAATCATGTAAGGAAAGGTTGCCATCTTGTGGGCTTTCAGGGTAGTCCGGTTGAATTGGTGTGAAAAGCTAAAAGCAATCCTGAAATTATGCAGTTTACTGTTGCTAAATAACAAAGTAGATGAGACACAGTGCTTCTCTTAACACAGACATATTTAACGTTTATTGGAACTTTTTTAATGAAAAAGAAATATAGAGTTCCCTTAGACTGTGAGCTCCCTGAAAATAAGAACTTCTTTTTGCCTTTGTTTGTATCATCAGCACTTAGCATAGTGCCTGGCACTTAATAAATACTAGCATTCCAGTTAGCCTCAACTTCTAGAATGAAATGTGTGTGTGTGTGTGTTTCTTTGTGTGCTTTAAAACATCAGTACCAAACACTCAGAAATCTAGCTCTTTTAATTAATCTGACACCATTACAAAAATGTAACTAAATGAAAGGAGTGGGATTATGGGCACATGTAGACAGGTTGTCACTGGTGAGGAGAAGGGCCTCTTAATTATTGGAGATTGGAGTGAAAAAAGAGAAAATGAGGAGTGAATTATTAAGTTTGGAGATGAAAAGATGGGGAAAAGAAAGAGCTTATTGCCAATGACCTGACTTTATTTTCTTAGTCAAGTATGAGGCTAGGTTCTTATAAGAGGGTGTGGAGAGGGGAACTTTGAAGACAGAAAAACTTGGAGGGAATGGAGTAGGGAGAAATAAATGCTTCAGTAAGGCCCTGCTAGTTAGCATAAATTTACAGTGAATCCAGTCTGATTGGTTGTACAATTTCCTTCAGCTAGCTGCATGGTAACAGTGGTGGAAGATGATGATGGGAGTGATCCAGCGTTGGGATTTAATAAGGCATGAGAAGCAGTAAAACAGAGGGACAAGAGATTCAAGAGTACTGGATAGTGTGGAGTTGAGCTATTTAACTATAGCATCAAGATTAAGGAGGGAGGATGATAAAAACAGCAGGGATTATGGCCTGAGAAAGTACTGAAGATTGGAGGGATTAGAGGTTACAGAAGAAGTAAAAAGTATCTTCCACATGGTGCTAGAGTGAGGAGCCTTCAGGATTCCTCTCCACCAGAGCTTCTTTCTCTAAGGGGTAGTCATAGAAAAGAGAGGGATAGTGACTGCCCCAGGATCCTTAATGTTCATGAAAGGCCCCACCTGCCTGGGCAGTTGGTCAGAAATGGAAGGCTTTGACATTGTGGTGACACACCTCAGAAGGGAGTAGCCTAAGAGCAGTAAATTCTAGGGGCAAGAAGGGCTCCAAACCTGCCTCTTCAGTATTGTTAAAACTTGAGCCCTGCCCTTCAAGATCCAGTGATGAAGAGACCAGGGAGAGACTGGTGGTAGGGCTGGATCATTATTAGTAGTGCCCCGTCATTAGTTAGTCCTACTTGCCTGCCTGCGTGCTCAGGAATAATGAAATCTTATCTCAGAGACTCAGGAAGGAGTAGAGTCCAGAGCAACGAGTTGGCTAGAGAGGAGAAGGGGCCTCTAGTCCTCGTGGACTTAGGGCTGGAGCATCCATTTTCATTAGTCAAGCAGTGGCAGACCTCTATTCCTGGCTTAGCGGTCACAGAAGGTTGTGGCTCTCTTACATTTAGTCCGGGATGATGAGCGACAGACTTCAGGGTAGAAAGGTTTCCAGAGGGAGATCTTAAAACCCAGTCCCTGAGTAGTCTAGGACTGGAGCAAGCGCCGTACTTACTATTCAAGAGACAAAGGTTACAAAGGTTAACCATCTCCATGAGGGCAGATCCCAGAAGCGGTCACCTATTCATGCTGCCTTATGGGCATACATTATCAGTACCAGGTTATGGCTGAAAACTGAACACTCACTAATAATCTCCACTTGGGAAGAACTGATGGAAATTCACAAAAAGGGTTCTGTTAGTACTTCTGTTTTGAAATGTGGTAAAACTATGTTTTGATTCAGGATCACAGCAAATAAAACATTGGTTGAGCCTGTCTGTCTTTCTATCGATAAGCAGGCAAATACACAGGCAGAATCTCAGATTATTTTGGTGGCAATTAAAGATGACTGATAGTTTAAAAAAAAAAGATTATGATGTATTCATCTAGTTAGTTTATTGTTCACTATTAGGCCCAGATTTTAAAAACTGCTGCTTAGAGGCATATGTGTACTTAAAGAGTAAATAGTGCATAACATTTTAATAATTTATATTTTGAGAAAATTAAGACTTAAAATGTACCATTATTGCATTGGCTATACTAGAAACCCATTTTTCTATGTTTTAAACTCCTTTAGAAAATGTGTATGTTTCATATGGTTTGCAGAATCAAAGAACCTTTATGGCTCCCAGGACCAAGCACAATGCCTTAGACAAATGTTTAATGAACTGTTGAATGAACAAACGTGATATTTATTGAGCATGGAAATGGGATTAATTTCCAAAGCAAGTGACGTGTCTGTGACCATAGAGAAGGAATCACAGCTCCTGGCCGTTATTATCTCAGTATCTTTTACTTAGGGTCACTTTATCGAGAGTTGCAAAGGACCTCAAAGGTCATCTAGTCTAACACCTTCATGTTAATGTAAAATGTAATGTAAAATGTAAAATCTGAGGCCGTGGAGGTTGTAGCTTTTTCCAGGTACCACATGCAGATTTCTTTCTTGTTGAGATGATGAGATTTCTGTGTGTTTTGTGTTCCTATGTGATACCATCAGAATCAGAAACAATATTTATATGGTAATAATATCCACTGAAAGGATATTTGTTCTCCTGAATGACTGATTAATTAACATAGGTGGCTAATTGACTAAAAAAGACCAAGTCTCCCATCTTAATGATTTCTTTAATAATTACTTGGTGGGACTTGAAGTAACTTAATGCAGATCATGTGTTTTAAGAAAAACATTGAATTGATACAGTTCATACATCTTTAAGCTTATGTGTAGTTTAGGACAACTAAGTATTGGAAAAAGAAGTGAGGAGAGAGAGCAATTTATTCTTTAAACAGTTGTCTTTAAATAAAAGATTTTAATCTAATTAAAATGGTAGGAAAAGGTACACAATGGGGTTTGTAGATGCCATATGGCTTTGGAGCATTTCAGCAGGACAAGATGAAACCTAGCCCAGAACATCATGAAGGAAATATGGAAGAACTCCAGCATGATGGATGAATGGAACAATGAATTCCATGAGTGCCTGCAGAGATCAGGTATTCACTTCAGGCAACTCTTAAACCCTAATATGTTTGAATGTATTCCTTCATTCCAGATCTATAATTTTATAAAAAAAAATTATGACTGTTAGGGGAAACAGTTCAGGTGCTGAAATATGTTTGATGATTGATTATAATTCACGTAATAAAGTTAGTTCATGGTTTTGAGTGAATATAGAACAGAAATAATCATATCCTTTCTTGCCCTCAACAGGAATTAATTTAGCCTTTTTTTCTTCCCATTTCAGCAACTTCACAACTATTTCACAGACACTCTTGGAATTCCAATTTGGGGTTCATACTTCATCTTTGTTGTAACCACACTTATGATTGGCCTTATCCTTGGTCTGGTAAGAGACTGTTTTTCTCATTCTCCCTCTGTAAAGTAGGAGTTCTTAATTGGAGGTCCACAGACCACTTTTGGGTGCCTGTATAAATTTCCTGAGGACTTTGAACTTGGATGGGAAAAAAATTACATGACTATTTTCACTAACGTATCTCAAATCTAGTATTAACTTTAATTACTTTAAAAAAAAAGTCACTTATTTTGAGAAGTCCATTGACTTCACCAGACTGTCAAAGGGGTCAGTGACACACTCAAAAAGGTTAAGAACCCCTTCTTTAAAACAAATGGTTAATTTTGTGCATAGTTGAAGGTAGACTAGAAAACAAATAAATATACAATTTTTCTTATATAATTTTTAATGCAATTTAGGATTTCTTGTTAAATTTTCTTATAAGATACCACTCACTCTTAACTGTCATTAGTAATGCAGGCTAATTAAACTGCCATGCCATCAAAAATCTCGTACTAGCTATTTGTTTCAGCTACCTCCTTCACTATATCTTTAACTGTCTCCAAAATAAGTTGTCTGGATTATCACCTATTTTTTTTCTGGCTCTCTCTCCTCTGATGAAGGTGCATATCATCCAAGAAATGGCCAAAAGGCAACAACTGAGAAAAGGAAAAGGAAAGCGACTGCTTAGTAGTCAAACTGTAGGATCAGTCCATTAACAAATGAGTCAGCTATATATGCAAATCTCACTCATCAGGTTAGAGTGCTATGCTAATGGGAACAAAGTTATGGATTTGGCACACAGGCTTGTAGTCATAAATCATAGGATCTAAAGCTAGAAAGGTCTTTTAGAAGGCGTCCAATTCAACTCATGTTGGATAGAGCATGCCTACAACAACATACTTGATCAGAGGTCATCCAGGCTTTGCTATGATAATTATAGCACAGAATGTGCATTATATGCCATAATAGAGCATATAATAATAATAATAACAGTATCAACTATCGTAATTGTTGTTATTATTTCTCAAGGCAGCCTACTCCACTTTTGAGTAGCTGTAAACATTAGAAAGTTTTCAAACCTAAGTTTTTACCTTTTGACTTCTACCCATTGCTCCCAGTACTGCTTCATCTCAGTGTGAACCATTAAGTTTCACTCAGTTTTATGACCAAAGATTATGCTCTTTACTCTGATCATTTGTCTCATAAATGTACATATGTTGTTGAAGAGGGGAGCAATTCCAAAATTTCTGCTACTTGAAAAAACAAGCAACTCTTCATTTTCCACATGCTGTTCTACTTGGTTTAGACCCCAGGAGCAATAACTGTCCCCCCTCCACCCCTACAGTTTGAGGACCCTGGTAGTTCTCCCTCACGTCTATACCTCTGCCCCTTTTTAGAGCCCTTTTGTATATTGACTCCCCCCCCCGTTAGATTGCAAGCTTCTTGAGGGCAGGGACTATCTTTCTTTATCTGTTTGTGTGCCCATACTTAGAACTGTGCTTGGTACATAATAGGCACTTAATAAAAGTTCATTGACAAGCAGCAACAATTTACAGCATATGCCCTGTGAGTGACAGGTCAATAGTATCCTCTTTATATATGAAGGACAATATTACAACTTTATGTAAAATTTTTCTACCTGTATATGTTTGAGGGAGAGATTTAAATAGCAAATATGCTATAATAATTGCTTATGAACACAGTAAAAAAAAAGCCTATTAGTCAATTACAGGTGCATTAGCTAATTTCATCTCAAGAATAGTGAGTCATTAAAACACTCCCTCTCCTTACTTAGACAATTGCTAGTTGTCTGTTGTGCCTTAAACTCCTGTTAAATTCTGTGGAATTTCACTAATTGCAATAAAGGTGTATGCTAATTGCCGTTTCTGAGTACAGTATACTGAAAATACCTGATGACTTAATGATGGAGAAAAAACAAAAATATTTCTCACTATCACAGAATTTTCAGAGTTAGAAGGGACCCGAGAAACCATGTAGTCTAGTCTATGTTTGTGCTATGCTTGTATCCTGACTCCTCTTCCCCTTGACCTTAAATAATTCTATTTTTACATTTAACACTTTTTGATGTTGATCATTTAGAATGTCCAGCTACTTTTGTATGTGTCTGTGTTTGAAACAAAAACCTTTAAAGTGTACCATTAAAACAAATCTAGGGGCCCAGAGTGCAATCCGAAGCAACACATGTAATTCAAGAGAACTAGGATAGTTTAAGATAAACATACCCTTTTAAGGCTTCCTATTGTTCATCTTTGAAAGTTAGTTATTTTTATTTTCACACTTGGATTTTTTTTCTATTTGCCTATAAGGAACTCCTTTGTTAGCTTTGTGATAGATACTGGATTATTTTTTGTTGCTAATTAGCATGTGCCCAGTGTTAAGGCCTAAAGGAAATTAGCTAGTATACTTAAGAGAAATAAAATGTACTCTGCTTCTCCTTTTTTGTTTTATTTATTTTTGGTAGGTTTTCATAGGGATTTGCTCCATTATTGCAAGACCATGACTGAATTTGCTGGAATAGTGTTTCTGTGCTTATTAACTTGGGGAATTAGTATAACCCAAGTGTCCTGAAGATCAGGACATTATTATTAAGTATAGGTAAACGGTAACATTTACTTGATGCAGCAATGAAAATTATCCTCTCATCATGAACTTTGTTTTTGAAGGAATTTAATGAATGTTTGTTGACTGACTAAAGTTGACCTTTTCTGAGAACTCATTCTTTAAAATTTAGGTTAGCCTTCCCCCAGGCATTTTCTGTGTAGCCCTATCTGCACCTGTTGTTTCACTATTAGAATGCAAATTCATTGGAGGCCAAGACTGTTTTGCCTTTGTCTTTGTATCTGCAACAGTTACCACCATGCCTGACAATAGTAAATTCTTAATAGATGTTTGTTGTTTTTTTTAAATAAACCTGTAGTAAAAGAACATTCTTTAGATGTGGCCATTCTCTTCCTCATCATCATCACAAGCATTTATATAGTGCTTTAAGGTTTGCAAAGTGCTTCATAAATATTTCATTTTATCCTTACAAAGGCCTTGGGAAGTAGATACCCTAGTTTACAGATAAGGAAACTGAGGGAGACAGAGGTTAAGCAACTTGTCCAGGGCTATACAGGTAGTAAATATCTGAGTCTAGATTTGAACTCAGAGCTTCTCTGATTGCAAGTTCTTTCCACTGTGCCACCCAACTGCCTTAAAAAAGAAGAGAGACAACTTGTTTGTTATCCAGAGGTAAAAGCGATTATATGTTTTAGATGATTATATGCTTTAGAGAAAGTTTTACAGGAAAAAAATGTGATCCTCTTGCTTAATCAGTAATCAAAAATAATTTCAAAGAAACAATAAACATTTACTATGCTTTTACTATGTGGAGGATATTGTGTTGGATATTATGGGAGATAAATAATTTAGATAAGATAGACAATTTCCTCTTGAGACTTACCAAAGAGGAAAATAAGGCATTTCAGGCGTAGGGAACAGAGCAAATGAAGCTACGAAAAAGAACTGTAAGGCACGTTGGGGAATGGGGTGGGAGAAGAATAGTTGTTCTGTTTGTCTGCAACATAAAGATTGTGAAGGATATAATAAGTGATGAGGCTAGAAGGTAAAACAGTGCCAAATTATGTAGGACCTTAAAGGCCAAAGATTTTATTTTTTACTTTACTCAGTATGCACTAGGGAACCACTTAATAAAATTGTTCTGGCTGCATTACAAAGAATGGAGTGGAAGGAAAGGAGAAAATCACCTAAGTTTGCAAATAGGAAGGAATGGGAAACAATCATTTACTACTATATGCCAGGTGCTATGCTAAGTGCTTAAGACTTCACTTGCCAAGATACCTAGACAGCCACATGGTCTTCCACTTCAGTATTTCACTGGCTATTGTTTTTGCCCTTTGAACTCTCACTATTCCCGTCCTGAGGATTCTCATGGCTAGGTAACTCATAGCAGCTGATTTCTCTGCTCCTATGTGTGATGATAACAACAATATATACCATTTATATAGCTTTTTAAGGTTTGCAAAAATGCATTACAACATTTTCATTCCCAACTTGTCAGTTATTCCATAATGACATTTTTATTAGCTTCAGGCATTATTATCATAGAGGGACCTGAAATCCTCTGGTTTAATAAAATTATAGCACAGGAGGGGCCTCAAGAATCAGCATAACACCATCTTTAGTCAGATGAAAAAACTGAGGCCTAGAGAAATAAAATGATTTGTCTGATGTTACACAAATAGTATCTTCAGGTATAGTTTATTCTAATTGATTTATATTAGTTCAGAAATTAAATAACTAACCTGAGCTCCCCGGCTTCCTTCAAGTTTCAAGACACTGCTGTCTCCTGGTTTTTCTCCTACCTATCTGACCCTCCTTCTCAGTGTCCTTTGCTGGATCTTCCTCTGAATCACACCCTCTAGGTGTCCCTTAGGTTCTGTCCTAGACCCTCTTTCCTTCTTCTCCTTCTACACCATTTTACTTAGTGATTTCATCAGCCCTTTAGGATTTGATGACCGTCTCTATGCTGTTGATTCTCAAATCCACCTTTCCAGTCCCAATCTCTGTATTGACCTCCAATCTCACATCTACGATTGCCTTTCAAACATCTCAAATTGGATGTCCAGTAGGCATCTTAAACTTGATATTTCCAAATGGAGCTCATTCTCTTTCCCCCAAACCTCTCTCTGTCCTTCCTTCTCTATTACTTGAGAAGGCAACACCATCTTCCTAGTTTCTCAGGCTCACAATCTAGGAGTCGTTCTGGATTTGTCCCTATCCCTCAACCCTCATGTCTAATCTGTTGCCATGGCCTGTCAATTTCACCTTTGTAACCTTTCTCAAATACACCTCTCCTCTGAATCGTCACCACCCTGGTGGAAGCCCTTAACACCTCATGTCTTGACTGTTGTAGTAGCCGATTGGCGGGTTGGCCTGCCTCAAGTCTTCCCACTCCAATCTGTTCTCCATTGAGCTACTAAAGTGATTTTCCTATAGTGCAGGTTCAATCAGTATCTTCCTATTGCCTC